TATAAGGATTAAACAATCATATAAGAATTAGAGGAAATGGGAGATGAAAAACACTTTTTATTCTCATCATTCTTAAAGTTCTTTTTTCCTTTTTTCTTCTCTTTTTTTTCCTTTTCTTTTTTCTAATGAGAATGATGAGAATTGTAGCTCTCAAAAGAGCTGAAGCTGCAAAGGTAAAGACAACGGTTATGTCTAATAATGCTGTTTCACTAATAGAGATTTTAATTCAGATTCGGTGCAATAAGAAAGATACACAAGAATGAGAAACGGACATTCTAGCAGATTCTAAACGAAAACAGCAATCTGAGCATTATTAGACGAATAAAAATCAACACTTGTAAAATTTATATCAGATTTTAAGATCATTGTTCATAGTTTTCCAAATTATGTGCAACTTTTTATTGAGAACATAATTAAAAATTTGTATTCATAAACCTTAGCTTACCTCAGCAACCTTGCTTGAATGGACATTCATATTTTATGAGAAAAGAAAAGTAGAACTCATGTTACGTGAAATTAAGTTAACGAATAATCAAATATCAAGCTATTTTATCATTTTTCAGATGATAAACTATAAATGCTGATCTAACTTCGACTCGGGTATGTCCTTACTTCGAGTAAGGTTAAAATCAGAAAAATCCTGCGTAATAATAATGCGTAATAATTCGAGGTACCTCGAATATATACCGTACATAATGTATCGCTGTCCACGTCTCTCGGCGCGCTCCAAGTCCTCTCTCCATCCTGACTTCTCGATCCGACGTCCTCCTTCTGGTTACTCCGTCGCAGCACCCCCGGATACTCCATCGTAGCACTGGCGACGACACTGACTCTAAGCTCTAACACTCGCGCAAGTAAGAGTCGGACAAAGAAACGCGTATTAACCGACACTCCTACTCTGCGTCGCGGAATGCGCGTCGTTCGTCGGCCCGAGGCGCAATGTCGTTTCCGCAATCACGGAATCATGTATAAGCGTACGAAACCAAACAATCGGGAAGGCACGGTTACCCCCCACCTTGCCGATCAGTGTTGATGTCTGCGTCATCCGTTAGCTGAAAATGAAAACAACTCGTGTTTTCAAAGCATGCCTGTGAGAGACTCGCTTCAAACTTCACAATACTTATTTACGCCTGTTCCAAGAATCATATTACGCCGAATTCAAACTGTCTCTATTTTGACATGACATACACGAGATCTGCGATCGCATCATTGATCTTTCTTTGGACAAGAAAATCCTGAGAGGAACGCTGTTCGAGAATATCGCGTTTTATGTTTCAGGTGCCTCGCAGATTATCGAATCCGATGTAACAGATCAGGGAAAGTATGAATGCGCCGCTATGAACACGCGTGGGCACGGAGTACTCCAAGTCAATTACGTTATACGTGAAACATACGTCTATTTAATTATTATTATTAACATCCACACGCGCGAGTCGAGACTATTTTCTAGCTTAATTAACGAGTACACACACACACACACACACACAGTCTCAGTGTTCTCGCAAGAGAGAAAATGTAATTTACGTTGTATCTTATTAAACGCACCATTGGAAAAACAAAAGAATACGGGCGGGGAGAGGACACATCCGAAGAAAAGTTAGCGGCTTTTTAAGACGCCGCAAACGGGACAACGTGTTTGTAGATGAAATAACGAATGCGGCGCATACTCGTCGCTCGCGCACAGAACCATGTCAATGCCGTAAACGTAGGGGTTTTCCTGCTCGTAATTAAAATTAATGTAACGCAATTAGGCCGTAATTAAACTAAAGGACTCGCGCGACTCACGTCGCGCACGTTACATCGTCGACACTTGTCGTTTCTTGCGTTCTCGCGGCAAGATCTCGAATCTGTCGACTGCTCGCATTTGCGATTTAATCGCCGTGACCGCGATTTGCTAAATCCCCCCCCCCCCCACGCCCCCTTTGAAACAATTGAGCGCCGAGTTTTTCGCGCACTCGGCGAGTTTTCGCGCACGGCGCGCGGCAGTTAATTTACGATCGTAAAACGTACGTACGTGCGTGCATAATTATTCCCTAATTAGACGCGCAGTTACGTATTTGCATTTCGATTTAATGTCAGTCGTAAATAAACAAACGCGGTCACACGGGCTCAATCATAACGTAATTGTAATTCACTCACTGCGAACAATCATAATATACCATATATTTATATATTATAATATGTATATTTATATACCATCGCTTGTAATCGTTCACAAATTGCTACTCGGCTCACATTCAACTTTTCTGCCAATTGTTTTTGAGTTTGTGTTGAGTCTTCATCCAATAACTCCTGCAATTCCGCATCTTCAAACGTTTTCGGCCTACCAGGACGTTTTTTGTCTTGAACGTTGAAATCACCACATTTGAATTGTCGAAATCACGTTTCACATGTTCTTATGGTTGGAGCATGCTCACCGTAAGTCTCTACCAGCAAACGATGACTTTCAGCGGCTTTTTTCTTTTGATTTGACAAGAAAAGTAATGCGTGCCGCAAATGCACGTTTCCAGGCACAAAACTCGACATTTTCAAAAAATTATTAATCTATAACGCTGTTATTTTGGCGGAACGTAACTTTTGTAGTTTTGAGGTTAATATCAGTAGAATAAAATGACATATGTATCAAATCATAACATTGCATACTTATGGCTAGTGACATCTGTTACAAAAACTGGAAAGTGATTACCGACATACCTGGTATATGTATGTATATTATAGGGAATATATCGTGAACGCGCGCGAGACGCGGCTTGTGTATCGGGATGCAACAAATCACGCTGCGGTCTTCCTTTTATAATCCCTGCTCAAATCGAGCTGTATTTTCCAAGAAAATATAAACGACCGCCGGCCTTTTCGCTAAAAGATATATTGCCCGATCTCATTCCAAGTATCTCTGTAGCGATAGCTCCGTCAAAATATACGTCTGACCAAACACGATGAAAACTCTTCAGAACGACGCGTTTCACTGACCTTGTCTACAATTTTTGTTTTTATGCATCCTGGGTATGCCAAGTGTTTTTGTCTAATGGGGATAACCCGAATCTCTCTGAACTATTAGATCGCAAACCATAAAGCGAAGTCACGCTCTCACTTTCCAGTCTTACGTCCGCCTTTTACTATCAAAGTTCTCCGAGTCTCGGGGAATTACCGGGTCGTTCGACGCTCGTCCGAGAGGACCGATTTCTCATTCAGACGCTCGTCAGATTCAACCAAGTACAAGCGCAACATGTATTGTGTTATTTTTAGAAATTTCAAATTCAAATTCTTTTTTTAAAGGTATATATGTGTATATAACAAGTTTTTACAAGTAAAACTTAAAGATAATACATAAGATTTTACGAGTAAAACTTATATAAAACTTACCTTTTTAAACAAAAAGGTAAAAAACAGGCGCCAAGTACGAGCGCAACAGGTATTGTGTTATTTTTAGAAGTATCAAACTCAAATTATTTTTTTTAATGTATATATGTGTACATAAGTTTTTACAAGTAAAACTTATAACTATAATAAAACTCTGCAACACTGTTCTACTGTACAAATTTCTTCGGGGAATCTTGTATCTCAAATGTGCCGGCTCTCTAAAGGTTAAAGATCGGACTGCCACCACATGCAGGTTTTACCGTCAAGACCTGAAAGTGGATGTGGCATCGTAGTTCCCCTCTAAAAATGAATGCAGATGGCGCCCTTTCCCAGTACGGAATAGAGTCCCTATAGTAAAAGTCTGGCCAATGTGGTCCAATTTTTGATTGGCTGGATATGAAATGGCGCCACCAATTAGTGATAGCACAGTATGCGGGATATTTGAATAGCAGTAACAGGAAAAAGAAAATTAAAATACATTTTTGCAATTTTTTTATTATTAAATTTTGATATTACATAAAGTTAAAAAAATATTACATATGTAATAACATGATTATTAAATTTTATCTAATAACGGAATGCATAGCCATGGTTTTACTATTAAAAACAGGTTTTTCTAATTTTCCAGTGTGACAACTTTTTCTTATTTTAAAATTAATGAAACGAATTTTAATTTTGTGGGATAAATTGTGACATGTTTTTAATGCAGTACATTCAATATCTTTCATTTTTTCAATAAGGAAATTAACAATGTTATAATTGCTTTGCTTAATATAAGGCAAATAACGTATAATTGCATAATTCATTTCTAAGAAATAATTAAACGTCGTATCGTTAACAAAAAATAATGTTTTTACGTGATAACATTTTAATAATAATGTTTATTAATAATAATTTAATTATTTTTATCGTTGTTTTTATTATATTTTAACTTCTTTATTTTTCCATCGAAAGATTCCGACATTACTTTTGTATGAGGAAAACTTGTTGGCACTGCTTGTGCTTTTAATTTTTTGGAACCATTCTGTCGCGGTTTTTCCCACATTTCTTTAGTAAAATGAACCTACAAATACAATTAGATGAGAAACATGTTTTGTTTATTATTTGATATAATTACATGTTACTCACAAATTGCTGAATATTGTTTCAGTTTCCAGTTTTCTCTTCCAATTTGTTTCAACCATATAATTTTTTGTTTTTTACTTATTGGAAAACATTTCATATAGAAGCCATTTTCGCTTCTATTTCTGCATCCCGGTATGCAACAACCAGTCATTTTTAAAATATTTTTATAAATATTTTTATATATAGTCCTCTTATTGTATTGGAAGTTTTTTCCAAGATGAAATGATGTTATGTTATCACTTGCATGTGCACGCGTAAAAACCGAGATTACAGTAGGTGCAGTACAGGTGTAGTAGCCATTTTGTATCCAACTAGAACATTGGCCAGACTCTTACTATAGGGACTCTAGTACGGAAAATTGGTGTCGCCGCCGAAAACGCCATACCGGCCGCTTTCAGGTTCCTCTCTGGTTCCTGATACAAAAATCCGGAAATTGAGAAAATGAGAAATTTTTAATTTCCCACTAGAAATCTGGGATACAGGAGGTTACATAACAAAAATAATGAATTACATACTCGTTAAAAAAAGATATTGTGTTTATTGCAGTGCGCTGGGTAAATGCATCGGGTACAATAATCAATAATTCGCATACACACGCGACCTCAATAACGATATCTTGTTCTGTGCACGACAATGTTGTCTATCTTTGTTTTATGGATTGTTATTTCATATTTCTTTTCTCGCAAATAATTAATGCAAAATATATATGAGATATCGTAACAAATATCGAACTTCTCTAACTAATCGTCTCGGAAGACATCGACAAGTTTCAAATGAGTTCCACGTAAGTAAACTGGCTCATAGGAATAAACGGATACAATAAGTAGGTGATTGTTTGAGCGGTCGCGTGCAATAAACGTTATTCGCGGACGCGACTCAATGTGAGCCAATATAAAAGCGCAATCGTCGCACATTATATGTGTTTATCCTTACGCATTTATTTATATATATATATATATATAGTACGCTTTTGCTCTGTCGTAAAAATATGTTTATGAAGACGCGCTTTTTATGTACAACTCCGTATCATGGCACTACGTTACTCGAATAAAAAATTCGATATTCGTATATGGATAAAAAACGAAAGAAACGATCTTTCTTTCTCTTTTACAGAGGCATTACGCTCATTCGCACATGTTTTCCTCCTGATATGGTCAGGAGTTTATGGCCACGATTAAGAGCCGCTAGTTGAGAATTTGTGTGATCGGTGATCGGTCATGAGATAGAAACTCCAATGTGACGGTAGTGACAAAATATCCGACGTTGTGGCTGCAACGGAGGAGGTCGCGCAAGTATTTTTATGATACTTTTATTTGTCAAGTAAGAATATAATAAAAAATCACTACACACCGTACATCTACTGTCATTGGATGTTTGCCGTGGCCGATTACCGAGCAAATTCGTCAGCAGCAGCGTCCTGTAATCGTGAGTATCCGATGCGCTGCTAACTTCATCGGGACAAACGCACGAACTGTTGTGCAAACGAGCGTACCTGCGCAATGTTTGATATTTGTACGACTATCAATCGATCAATCCGTCGACAGGACCGAGTGCCCACCGTTATTCGGACTCTGGTTACGTGGCTGCCCTATTCATCCCCCTTCCCCCTCCCTTTCGTTCTCCCATTATTCCCTACGCGAACAAACCTTACGAATATACGAATGAAGTGACACGCGGCGTAGAAATTCGTTCGGATGACTCATGAAACTTGACACAAATGGGTGGAAATCGAATGCCCGGGCTTCAAGCAAAAGTGATTCTCGATTCCGTAGGCGCGACGCGTGCCTGACCCCTCCTCCCTTCTCCCCTCGCGAATGTATGTACACAGAAACAAAAATAAACTCTTACAAACTCCCTCGAAACAACGGTCCTCCTCCCTGCGCGCCGAGTCGTCGGCGAAAAGTCGCCCGAGCTACGAGTGCTCGCCCGCACGTCGAAAGACACGTTCTCGAGCGACTTATATAGTTAATACTCACATGTAGCGAAGAACGTGCGTATATCGCTTACTTAATACTAAAAAAAAAAAAGTGTAGTCTTGTACGGTTCGCTCGTTCGATTACCTTAATTAAGTAGATACTCGCAACCTTTCTCCTCGTCTCACATTCATCCCGATATCGTACACTCCATTCATCCTCAAATCAATTTCATATCTCGACCGAGCGCTAATTTGTCGATCAAGCAGCTGCCAAACAGCCGAGTTGACGTCTCCGAGTCAACGTCGGCTCTTTCTGTACATGTAGATCACATGGCCAGGTGGCGTTCACGCGATGAACGCGAGTCACCATTCGAGAAATAGTAATTTGCGGCAAGCTGCTGCGCGCGCGAGCAGCTGCCGGATCAGTAATATTTGTCCTGATCGAGATCAGCACGGATATGCTGCTGGCCGTGGCTGTTACGTTTCAATGTGGCGGACTCGTAATCGAGGCTCTTCGGGTACAGCTTGGGACTGCCGAGGCCGTTGACGTTGGGGTTGCTTTTGCCGCGCAGGGTCCCGTTTCCGTTGGTGCTGCCCGAGAAACTAGGCTGTCGCTTCGCGTTCACCTGCGAGATCAATTCACTTTTCAAGTAGCTGCGCCAAGGACGCTTGCGCTTTTAACAGAGCAGGGTACACGCGCGAGTCCGAGTCTCACCTCTTTCAGCGGCACGGTAACGTAAGGGTTCTGTTTGCTGATGTAATGCGGGCTGCCGGGGATGCGGGGCTTGCGTCGCTTCAAATAGTAGAAGCACAGCAGCGCGGTCAGGGCCAGGCCGAAGACAAAGCCGATCACACAGCTGCCTACCGCCGCCCCCACTGTGACACCCGAGTTCTCCACGCTCGACGGCAAAGCGTTTACGTCTGGGGGTCATTCGCGAATAACGTTCGGTGATACCGACGCTCAGTGGCTCTTGGCTATTTGCCTCGGCGGCCATCTTGACTCAATTCTTACAAGATACGTTGAAATAAAAAATTATACTCGCGAAATGACATTAGCACCTGATTGAGCACGCACTTGTAAACTAGTCCGAACACTGTTTTTGTTCTATCAATCGACAAATAACCGTAAAGTTAACGCGATAGGATTGTGAAGAAAGATAAGTTACAAAAGTAGGTTGCGTGTGTAATTTTTATTGATTGTTGAAACAGGAGGAAAGTGTTCGAGCTATTTTACAGGTCCGTTCGATCGTTCGCAAATGTCATTTTATGGAGATATTTTTTTTTATTTTATCGTAAAGATTTTAAGCGAGCACTTTTTTGTCACCGCCATCATCAATCAAGAAACTGCCGATCGTTCGCCTCTTGGCTGATGACGTCAGAAGCGGAGAAATTCATATTAAAAATTCCTACAGAGATTATCCTTTCCTTTTGCTCGGACGATCAATAAATAATTTAATAACAAATAACTCACGACTCTGTCATGTTGACTTTTCGCCTATTTATCGATCGCTTCGGCAACTTTTTCCGAGCGTGTTGAAACCGAGCATGCTCGATCGATTGCAAGTGTCATTTTCTGTCACGGATAAACCTTTTTACTTCGATGTAATCCGTAGGGATTTCTAGAACGGATTTTCTCGCTTCTAACGCCATCATTCAAGATGGCTGCCGCGAGGAAACAGAGGGAGCCTCAAACGACCAGCCTCTCCCGACGGCAAAACTTTTCCAACTTACCGTTATCCGTGCAGATTGGGAGGCAATCGCGCGTCTCGTGAGTCGGTCCTTGACACATGCTTGGGCCGTGTTGAAGGCACGATCGTTTCCGGTGTTGCTGATGATTATTGTCGCAGGGTGTCCAATGCGACCACGTGTCCCAGCCGAGCAGCGATTCGCAGCTGGGCATCTCGCACGCTTCTCTCACCAGTCGAGAGCCGATGCAACTGTCCGGGCCGAGGCACTCCCTCGATCTCGTGCGAGTACCGAGGCCACAGGACGCCGAACACTCGGACCACTCGGTCCAGCACGACCATTGACTCTCGGCAGTGTTACTCACGTCGTTATTCGTCCGACACGGATGAGTGTTACAGGCCCGGCTCTGCGTCGACGGACCCTCGCAAGGCAGCGATTTGCATTGTCTCACCTATAAGAAGTATTCGGCACGTTCATCACCAGATCTTGGATCATCCACGAAGGGACAATCGCGTGATGTTTACCCTGTGCTGAGTGCCTCGTCCGCAAGGACGGTCGCACGTGGACCATTCGCCCCAGCCGTTCTCGTTGACGAGTTCCGGGTATACGTTTACGTTGGCGTTGCCGCGCAGACAAGACCCGTCGTTCCTGCAGTAACGCTCTTCTTCCCTGGCGAGTTGCACTCGCACGCTCGACGGGTCGTTGGTCTGTGCACGGCAGCTGAAACGGAAGCGCTTCTCCACGTAACCCACGCTACCACTTTGCAAGCTAGCGTTCATCGCCAACCATGGCGTCCAGCCGGAGTAGCGTTTGGTCTCGGCGCAATTGACGTTGCATTCTTCGAACTGAAATGCATCGACCCGCGTGAACGACTTTTCTGATCGGGAGCGCATCTCAAGCGCGTCCTAGGACGAAGAAACAATTCCTTTTTTCCTATGAACAGGATGTGTGCTCACCTGAATGTCGCATCCAGGACAATCGAGGCCGCCTTTCTTCGGTGGCGGGTTGTCGCAGACCCTCTTTCGGACACGTATACCTGCAAATTGTGGGTCGTAGATTTATCAGACGCGCACTCGTGCCGGAGAAAAAAGAAAATGAGGGAAAACGAGAGGGATAATAGCGCAGGGGAGAAAAGTTGTAAGGAGAAGCGAGAAGGTCAAAGGGACGCCATATTTGAAAACTTTGCCGGCACAACACTGAGCCCCTCCTGCGAAGTTTACGTCGCGTATTGGTTACTCGGAGAGAATAACAACAAACAAGCATTTCTACACAATAAAAATACATATAAAATATGAATTGAAGTATTGCTAAATATTTGTAACGATAAAAAAAGATGATAAAAGACGATTTCAAAGCTGGAAATTTATTTGCTCCGCTCAAGAAAATATACGAAAAGTTTGCAGAAAGTTTTTAATATATACATGGTTAAGTTTTTTGTCATCCACTTTGTTATCTTCTTTACCCATAAAATTGTACCCGAGAAGCTCGTATGAGTTTCAACGCATATCTTTATGAGATTTGCGTAAACTTTATGAGAAGCGTAAACTCAAAATGATCGAAAATATATATATATAAAATGTTTATATACATATATATATATTTTTTTTTAAAACGACATTTTAACACGTCATTTAACACGTTCAAGGCTCGCTCGAGATCGGGGTTTGTGCGTTGTTGTTAGGATAAACAGCCGCATTTTCGGCACGCGATATTTTTCTACTGCAACAAAGAGGAAAACGCTACGCGACAACGGAAAATTTTTTCAAGTATGCCATCGCTTTACCATCTGTTCGCTAAATTGAAAGCGGCTTTGGGATTTTGACCTTGGCGCAAAGCGCTCCGGAGGACTTTCGGATCCGTGGAGGATGACCGAGTGAGGACGCTGAACGAAAATGAACCACGATACACGACTCGAGAGGTAGCAAAGATCACAAGTACCAAGAAAATACCTCGAAGACCCACACGAACGTATCTTTGACCTAAAAATTCATGCGAGCTTTTCGGGCAACCCGAAACTCACGGCGTCGGCCGCATCGTTACCGGGACATTGACGCGCCCATGGCGCGATATTCGGATACTCACCGTTACACGGTTGCGAACACGGGTCCCAGGGGCCCCAAGAGGACCACTGACCGTTCTGCGGCGGCGGGACGGCTTTGGCGGGGGCGGGGCAGGGCGGCAGATCGATGCACACGATATCGTCGTGATCGTGGCCGACGCAAACGCGGCCACCGAACGCGGGCGCCGGGTTCGTGCAGGTGCGTCGGCGAGTCTTCATCGCGAAGCCACAAGTCTGGGAGCAGGCCGACCAAGCCGACCAGGCGGTCCATCCACCGTGAATGGTGCAATTTGTTACTCTGACACGAGCACCCGTGCAATTCTCTCCGCCGTGCCGCGGCGTCGGGTTGTTGCATTCCCTGGTCTGGCACTGGCACGTGTCGATACTCTGCGGACAGAGCCGGATCCAGGACGTTCATTTCCGCCGCAGGCTCGATTGGGAGGGATCGCGAGGCGGGACAATGTACGATAAATCCAGCGAATTTAGCCCCGAAGTCACGCGAACGCGCGATGAATGTCCGTTTCGAAGTTCCGCCGGCTCGTCGAGTCGAGTTCGTCGTGTCGGTTATTCGCGACCGGTGCTGCTCGCGAATGGAAACGAAGGACGACGAAAATCGCGGGTAAACGCGAGCTGTCCTCGCGTCGCTCCTCACCTCGGCATTTTCGTTGTGCGAATGCGTGTGAGAGTGAACGTGGCCGGACAGTTGTTCCGCCACGCCGTGTTGGCAAGGCGACCAGGCGCTCCACGCGCTCCAACCTCCGTCCACGGGATCAGTCAGGATCGGGCACTTGGTGTCCTCTTGGAGCCAGTGCTTCACCAGGTAATTCTGCTTCGGTGCCTGCGTGCACATCATCAGATGCTCGTCCCAGCCGCAATACGGGTCCTGGGCGTTCAAGCATGCTTGGGAGCTCCGGTGACGGTAACACTGAACGGCAGGTATGCTGAATGGACGAAAAATCGATTGTCTCAGGAAGAGGGAGGAAAAAAGAGAGGGGAAAAATTCACAGTGATGATTCACGTGACGTGATACACACACGTGATAGGTTGACACAAAACTATGACCGCGAAGAAAACTGCGAGAGTTGGCCAGAAAACGCATGTCGAAAACGCCAAGCTTGGCATCCTGTGACTTTTTATTCCCGACTATTAAAAACACGCTAAAGCGATCCGCTCCGAGCATGTGGAGGCGATCGAAGCAAAGACGTCGTCTCACCGTAACAGACCGATTTCCATGCCGACGTAGAGGCTTTGAGTGGCTTTGAGGAACTGCAGGGTCATCGGTGGTGAGGGCAGAGGTCCCCAGACCTCGACGACGCAGGTCTGCTGTGTCCTCGGTAAGACGGAGATCTTCTTGATCAGTCCGGTGGTGGTGGCGACGTAGAGGACGGTTACTCCGCGATGCACCTTGGTGGGTGTAATGTCGACCGCGATGTGGGTGAACCGCTCAAGGATCGCGGTGTGTAGCGGCTCCAGCATCGTGCTCTGGACCGCGTTGTCCATCAGTTGGTACCACTTGCTCACCTCCGGCGAAGTGATGTTGAACGACGGGCCGCAGCGTTGTCGGTTGGGATCGTGTGCAACGTCGTGCACCCTCTCCCATGCGGAGTTCGATTTCTGCTGATACTTGTACGGGCCGTCGAAGCTGGCGATGACGGCCGACATGTTGAAGGCGCAGATCGCCGAGCCTGCGATGCTGTTACTGCGGCAGGGAGAGAAAAAGATGCCGTTGAGGTGACGCTACGGCTCGCCGAGCTCGGCTCGAGCAGCTTCCAGTTAAACGCGAAACGCCGAAACTCCGTTACGACCGCGAGCGACCGTCGGCGGACGGTCCCCGAGCAGAACATCGTCTCCGTCGGCCGTGTTAAAACCCCATCCGGCTTCCAAATTTCAAATAGGGCTCGGACAACTTCGGATCGGATCCGGCACGTAATAAGGAGTGAAACGTACTGCTGCATAATGATGCTCTGATAAAATTGCCTGAAATCGAGAAACCCGATGAAATGTCCATCAGGACCAAATCAGGCGTCCAAATAATGATGGTCATCGCTGCGGTCAGGGTATAATCCGGGAAATATTGCAAGACAATTGCAATGGAAGACATTCCGACCGGATAAGGACCGCTCATAATACCTTCTTATGGCTTGCCATATCAGGCATAAAAAATTGCCGTATTTGATATTTCTGCTCGGGACGGTTCGCGATGTTACTCGGACAAATCGTATAATCAATGTGGCATTTACCGTCTCTCGCATCCCCCTGAGGTGTTGTGCAGACATAGAGAGACAGGCATAAACACAGACGGATAATTAATGCGCCGGCGAGTCCTCCGAATCTGAGAACGATACTCACGTGGAGGTCGTGAAGGTCGCGTAGATGACTCCCTCCTCCGGGTGATAGGTCGCGCCTTGGATCTCGTCGTAGTAGAACGGGAATTCGCCGGGCAGCGAGCAATTCAGGCGAGCCTTCCTGAATGTCGTCCATTCTCTCTCCACGATCTTGTAGCCGGGGTCGTACTTGCAGACCCTCGCTATCCTCGAGTATATTATCTGCAAGCGAATACCCGGCGTGATGAATCGCGCGACTGGACGTCGTTTCGGCGACAGTATCACGACGACCCATGTCCCATGTCGTTGTTCATTAGATCGACAGTTGTTCAATATTTTTCACGAGCCATTGCCGTTTCGAGCTGCGTAGCTAGAACTCAGTCGAGACGAGAGAGACCTTTTCGACTTCTTCATCAAAGAGAGACTCGGAATGACGATCGAGAAATGCAAACATTTGCACGGTTAATGCTAGTCGTTACCTGAAATTTGACACTCAGTCGGAAAAAATTTTTCGGTTGAATTGCGATTACAAGTGCAAAATATCGCACTTGTCACGTGCGATTCAAATGGTAGAACTCAGGTCCAAGCATACGTTCAAGGCTGAGCGTTTCACACGAGACGCGTTTCAAGCAACGACTTAAGGGGGGAGGGGGGGGGAATTACAGCCGGGAGGAGCAGCCCGTTTTCAAGGCTATTTTTACGAATTTTTTTAACAGGAACGGTAGGTAGACTTGAAATTTTCACAGTGTATTCATTAATGTTCAAAGTATAAAATAAATTTGTTATTATCTATGTGGGGGAAGTATATAAGACTTTAAACGCGTTTATCTGGAAACACCATTTTCTTAAACTATCGACACGATTACGCGAAAACTACTGAATCGTATAACTTGAAATTTTTACACAATATACAGTAGACATGTAGTTTTCGCCCCTACCTCGAACACAGTTATATTTTATTTTATTTATTTTTTTTAAACATGATTGCAAGTTGATAAAAGTTTCATTTTCGATACTTCTTTTTTGTACAGTCATTATTTTTCCAAGCTTGGCTGCACTGCCTCCATTTTGGTACGGGCTACAATGGCAACCGTATATTTTAAAAATCTTTCTCATTTTTTGGTTTCAGAGTAGTGAGAGAGGCCCGGAATTACATCGACAGCAAACATAGAGCTCGCAAACGAATGACTGCATTTGTACCTATAATTACAAATATACCTATAATTACAAATTAAATCGGTTCTTGTGATTCGATAAAACATATTTTATACTTTGAACATTAATGAGAATACACTGTGAAAATTTCAAGTCCATTGATCTTACCGTTTCTGTTAAAAAAAAAATTCGTAAAAAAATAGCCTTGAAAACGGCCTTCCGCGTGTAATTTCCCCCTTAATGAAAAGACGGACCTTTGAGCGGCCCGTGTCGGATAGCCCGTCTCTTGCTTCAACCCTGGATCGATAATTACTTTCGCAATTTCGAGTCCGTTGCGTCGGCTCTTATCGGCTTTCCTTCTCCTCCATTTGGCTGGAAGCAAGTCTCTCCTGGAGACGCGGCGCGAGTTCTACGCTTGCCGTCTCCACTGCTCGCGCAGCTTCGTAATTCACCGTCCAGCGTCGCTAGACGGTAAATTAATCTATCGCGTCGAAGTCGAGTCGAAGCCCGCGCTTCGCCGTGATCGAGGTGCGATCGCGCGCAGCCGGATGCAGAATCTTTCATTAAAGGCAAGTCTAGGCGGCAATTTGAGCCGGCGATAGGCCGAGAAAATGATAAACATCGCGCGAACCGAGATCACGTCGGAGATGATATTTTTCCGCCGCGAGGAAAATCGCCGACGCGCGCGCCGCTCGTTCCTACCGACACCGTAAGCGGCTAATTATACGCCTGACGCGCGTCGCAGACGAGATCGCTAATCGCGCGCGCGCGCGCGCGCGCGGAGGGGATTTTCCCTCCGCGCGTATCCCGGATGATGGAAGACGCGAGAGCGCGTCACGGTGGATTACTATGCGCTATCGATATCTTCTTACCTTGCCGCAGTTCATGTGCTCCACCGCGATCTCGCGAAATAGAAAGTACACGTAATCCTCCGCTTCGAAGCTGCCGACAAACTGCGGGTCATTCAGCCATCTGCAAGGAGAGCGCGGCCGCTGAGGGAAACGAGATCGATACAATGGTCGCGCGACTCGCGACCGAGTTTCGACACGGCCGAGCCTTCAAGACGCTTTTACATGGGTCGTTTCTCGAAATGCGATGAAAGTGCGTTGACAGTAAAGTGTCGCTGAGATTGCCAATAGACAGCCATGAAAGTGGCAAAAGGCATTTGCAACACTGCAGACAACACGGCGATGTGACTCGACGTTCGCGAAGAAGAAGAAGAGAGATGCAACTCGCTTAAAAGGACGTGCAAAAGTGACGTTAAAATTATGGAACGGTTAAGCGATTAACGTTTTTTAATATCGTGGAATCACGGAACGACGGCTGATGATGATCGCGCGTTAGAACTGTATTGACAATATCGCGGCTTTCTTTTTTTCCGATGAAAGATTTAAAGAGCTTATTTTAGGGGTAAACTAATTATTAAGATAATTAATATCATTCATTAAAGAAGAAGTCAAGAAGTCAAACAGCCTTATACAAAATGTTGAGTGAACTTACAGCTACCATGGGTGGGACTTCACCCCGTGCGAATTTCGTTTCGTCCTTATTAGATGTTAAATTATCCTCTGAAAACAATTACTTTTCATCTAATATTCAATAAACTCAATATCAAATCTAATATATATATATATATATATATATATATATATATATTCAATCTAATATTCAATAAATTCGATATCAAATAAAAATAAAAGTAAAAAATAATATTTAATATTTAATCTGTTTGGCTCTTTTTATTTCTGAAATAAAAAGATACATACCGGGGTGAAATTTCAGCCACGACAGCATTAACGTGATTTTTCTTGACCGCTTCAGAGAGGGTTAAATTTCTGTCGAAAATCACACGAAAGCAAAATTGGAAAGGAAACAAAACTGTGTTCACGGTTCATCACTAGCCATCATACGCACGCCACCATATTACTGAACTCGCATCGTCTCGAGAATAATATTTGCAGAATCAGGCGGAAGCCGGCAATTTCGTAGGAATTTCGTACATTCGCGTTAAGGAGGTAGTAACTGTTACTCTCTTGCAGCACGCTGAAAACAATCCGGAAGACGAAACCACAGAACTATCAGTGTAACTTTCGGCGTATTTCGGAAGACGACCACGCTCGCGGTGGCTGCGTTCTTCCCGAGAAAGCTACTCTGTAACTGTTGTAAAATTCATGAATCTGATTGGCGCGTCGGATTCAGTCAGGATTGAGAGCATACATCGGTGAGACTCGTGGATTTGACAGCAGAAAGCTAGATGTAGCTTTCTCTGCTGAGCGCAGCCGCAGTGTCACGTTCACAGCGGAAGAAGCAACTTAATAAGCGCTTTGCGCGAGCCCGCGTCTTGCCAGCGGCCCTGCGACTGTTGTGAGATTTTCTGCTAAGCGACACTTGGCGGTTTACGCTTTTCCAGCGTGTTGTCACGAGGGTTGTCCCAGCGTATGGAGAGTGCATGAGGAAGAATGGCGACCGCCTGGTAAACACGCGAAGAAAGCGTAAATCGCTGGTGTGTCGTTTAGCGGAGAATCTCACAACATTTGCATAGCTGCTGGCGGCACAGGCTGGCGCGAAGCGCTTATTAAGCTGCTTTTTCCGCTGACCGTGAGTAACATCGTGACGCGCTCGTCGCGACGACGCGATCGCGAACAAGTCGTGGCGTAAATCCGCCTGGCGCTGCGACAGACAATTTAAGAGCCCAAGTGATATAAAAACCTTTGGTCGTTTCAAGCGAGTTAGCGAGTTTACGCCACGACGGTACGATCATTGTCGCGACGAGCGTCGCGACCAACGCAGAAGAGCCTCGCGGCAGCCATGTTGAATCATGTGCACGCCAGCAGCAAGGAAACCCACGTTAAAAATGTCCCCGAGTCACGTCGAGATGAAGATATACGATACGTCAGTAAAATGACACTCGCAATCGGTCGAGCATATTTCTAACACGTTTCGGAAACCTATCTTTTGTCGAGCTGGTCAGCAAATGGGAATGTCGAAGAATCAACGGGACTAGGTGACATGAGAGGAGGCAGCTTGAAAAACTGGACGTTCTCAGAGCGTTTCAAAGTCTTCGCACTCAATCGATCGCGAGGATCATTCTGCGGACATGACTTCGTGATTATCTCGACGCGCAATCCGCAGGGAGAGACTTTCAGTGCGGATCCCCTCGCTTCTGACACGAAGCAAGAACTCCGCGACCAAGGACCAAGAGTCCTGACGCGATAAGCGTCTCGAGTACGACGAAAGTCGCCCGGAGCTCTGCGAGGCACGTACTTGGAGTCGTAATACAGAGTTCTAATATTCGGGGACACCAGTGTCCTGTAGATCGCCTTGTCAGTTCCGGAGAAGTCGGTGGGCGTGCCAGCGAAGAGCCCACCGGAAGGACCCCTCGAGAAGTAAGCAGTGACGTTCGCGTACGGCGAGTACGGGCACATGGCCTTGCCGCTCATCTCGCTGGTCACCCTGGTTATGTTCTCGATCTGCGAACACACGATTGCCACGAGATTCCTCCACAGTCTGTCGGTCAGTCACGGCCGACGACGGCGGCCGGTCGACTAATTAGCGCGGCTCGAGAGAGAGAACCGTGAGGCTACCGCGAAGGATCGCGGACAGGTTCCTCTCCTCCTCGGGACGTACCTCTCGCCATGTGCACCACGGGCTGAAGGCGTAAGTGCCGCAGGTGAAGAGACTCTTGCCGTTGCTGACGAGCACCTTGATGTAATTGTGACAATCCTCGATGCTTTGGCCCTTGTCCTGGCAGACGTAAACCTTGTCGTCTGGCGCGGGCCACGAAGCGTGCTCCAGCTCCGAGAGCGACGTCAACGTCAGCCGGTACAGGTTGTCCCTGGAAGAACGGCTTTTGTTTACTTTTTTATCAGCGCGTCACGGACGAAGAGCAGTACTGTGCTTCTCTCTCTCTCTCTCTCTCTCTCCCTTAAATATAATCAGCGCGCTCTTTATGGGAGCTTCTTCAGTGTGCTTGTAACTCAGTTCGGAAATCTCGCTGAAAGGATCAGTAGCAGCGACTGTGTCTCCGTGTCGTTGATTTGCCGACACAGAGACTGTCATCGCTAGAAACGCGAGAGAGATTGGATTTCAGGGGCAGGCGAGTATGCTGCGAACTCGTGCGCTACAAATTTGGCAGCGTTCTTCGGTATATAGCGAATCTTACTTCCGTTGCCGAAGATGTAAGGTGCGGAGGCAAAGTGAGAGTGTTTTCATCAAAGGCCCGTGAAAACTCACCGGTCATGGAGAGTGCTTCCCTCCATTGATTCAATCAGGAACTTTTAGCGATTCCCTTAGCTGATTACCACGACCGGTAATTTTTACTGAGTCTTGCTTGAAGCGAGTATTAACTCCTCGCAAACGGAGCCCCGAGCTGGCTTTCCCGTGTTACGATGTATCGACACCATCCTCGAGGTCATCGCAGACGCATCTCTCGGCGGATGAAATCTTATCAGCGGGGAAACGCGATTTTCTCCCTCTCTCGGAAAAATCGCGCGGGCTTCTGCGGGTTAATGAGGGACCGCCGAGCGAGTTGGAGGAGCAACGTTCGCGAGTTCGGGTCAATTTCGCGCAAAACAGTCGGCGCTAGAATTCTGTCTTGTTGAAAGTCGCGCGGCAACCGCTCTCACGGGTAGTGTGCAAGTTGGCGGTGCTCGATCTTCAAGTCGAGCAAGGATCGTCATCAGGACGAGCGACAGCGACGGGCCAGTCGTCGTAAGCCAGCTAAAGGCGGACCTCGTTGGACTATCGTCGTATCTCTCCTCGAGATATTCTCGCGCGACGGTTCGCGATTGTATTCGTCGACTCGTCGCATGGTCGCGCCGCGATCTACGGACTCTGAAAGGACCGAAGAGATCATGCAATATTGCTTTTACAGCCAACGCGAAGCCATTCAACGCTCTTCAGGCATTCACGAGGAAGGCAAACATCATTACAAAACTGATCAGCATAATCGGATTCAGTGATCCTGCTGATCGCATTCCTGTCGAGGCAAACTCTCGTATTGTCCAGTTATGAACGATAAATTATAGACGAATATCATAGACGAAAGTTTAAAACCCATTTATTTATTTATTTATAATCCATGTAAATAATGACGAAACTTAGGTTTTAATGGCAAACTCTGGTATTGTCTAATTATGAACGATAAATTATAGACGAATATCATAGACGAAAGTTTAAAATCCATTTATTTATCCATTTATTTATTTACGACAGAGATCCTACAAAGAAGAATTCAAGAGCAATCTATGTAAGTAATGACGAAACTTGGGTTTTAATGGCAAACTCTCGTATTGTCTAATTATGAAGTTATAGACAAATATCATAGACGAAAGTCTACAGCCCACTTATTTATTTACGAGAGAGATCCCATGAAGAGAAGGATTCGAAAGTGATCAATGTAAAAATAATGAAGAAACTTACATTCTAATGGCCCAGAAAATAACGAGATTCTCAAACGCGTCAGCAAGTCGCTGCGATGTCGATCGCTCACTAACGATTGCGCTCACATTTCGCGGATCTTTTTCTCTCTCCTTTTTTTTCTGAATTTATGTGAATATTACGATATAAATATTACAAGTTCCTAGAGACTCTGCAACCACTTGTGTGCTAATAGGCACTCCCGCATAAGTAAGTAAATAAATAAATCACTAATAATTCACTTTTGGGAAGAAGAGTTCTGCCTGCTCGAGCGGCTGAAGTGAGCGGTAAGAGAATTCCTAGTTGCATCGCACGGACCTACGAGCGGCCTGCAAAGCTGGAGCTTTTCGGTCAATATGAGTACGGAGAAAATTTCCCGCGTGAGAAACTGTGCCTTCGGAGGCGCGAGGAGCGAGAAGGGAGCTGGTCTCGATATGCGCTCGAGCTGGTCTCGATATGCAGAAACATCAGGCGCGAGAGCTCCGTCCGTCGAGGTTCCGCGCGATCCTGCGGAGCGCCTGCACAGCTCGGCCCGCGGCCAGCCGCGGCAGCTCGATCTCCGAGCCCGCGCGGGAGCACTCGTGGCAGTCGAGTACGAAGGCGTACTCGGGTTTGACAGAGGCTTCGAGGAGCTCTCGAAAACTCCTCGGACGACATTCCACGGCGGCCCACTTGACTCCGATGCGACGTGTACTCACGCATACGTCCGTATACGCGAGCGCGTACGGACGTTTCGCCGCCGAGCGCGCGGCGTGTCGCAGCCGAGAGATCGCGCGCGATCGCGCCACGGACTCGGGACGAAATTCTCGGGGCGAGACGAGAATCAATCGGCCGAATGTGATATCGAGAGACTCGCGCGACAATTTCATCCTGCCGATTCTCGCGAAGTTTCTTCTCGCGAAGAGTCGCGTCCTTTTTTTTTGAAATTCTTACGGGGAAATGGAGAGCCTCGGAAAGTCCCCAGCGATCATTTTCATCTCAACTGACGTTCAGACGTTTATTAATTAATGTCTTCATTTAGGTTACTTAAAATCGATTATCCTCGACGTTTAAAAGATCTGCTGTACGCGGTTAAATAAATGTGCCTCTGATTACTTCTCTTTCTTTCCGATTTTTAATTATTTCGCGGCTTTTATTTGTTTGTCTTTTTTATATGTACAGAAGTTTCTCCGTCGATGAAGATTATTGTTATTATTATTGGTGTTATTATTCACCACGCCTCCCGACGAAAGTGCGCACGCGCAATTGACGCGAGAAGACCGCCGGAGGACATCGATCGGCGATCGCCGCGACAAGCTCGATAAATAAATTCTTGTCGACCGCGCAAAAATCAGCGCGGAGATATGGTCGCGTCTGGGCAACGAGAAGGAGGAGGAGGAGGAGGAGGAGGAGGAGGAGGAGGAGGAGGAAGAAGAAGAGGAGAAGAACGATGACAACGACGACGATCGCGACCGGTAGATCGAGCAGGAAGTGCGGACGGCGGTTCGCGGAGTGACCGCGGATAACTCGACGGTGCAGGATAACTCGATACTCGCCTATGTCCCTTTAAGTAGCGACGCGCACGCCTTCTTTTTCTCCGCTCCGATGACGATCGCGATACATGTAAATGGAAGCGCAGCGCAGCGCAACGCAGCGCGACGGCGCGACGGCGATTCCGGCCGTAACGAACGAACGAAATTCGCATTCCGAGTGAGAGGAACTGTCATCGCGCCTGCAAACTAGCCGGATATCAGCCATAGGCTCGTGCACCTATCCTGAACGCGGCACAGGACGAAGACTCGGACGGAGACTACGTCCTCAGGAGGACGGCCTCGATCTTCGTCTAGCTTCTCGCTCCTATCTGGAGAAAGGTAGACGAAGGTGGTATAGGCTTGTGAGAGGGAGGTATTAGCTTTCTACCTTCATCATTCTGCCCTCTCATAAAAAGGCGCAATCTTTGCGCGCAGGTGTATGATAACACCGATGGTGTTACAAAATTCGTCATTGCTAATCCAGAAATACCGATACGGAATGGTGCATAAGAAATATGATATGAAAATATGATATTAAAATAATCCGAGTCTCTCGAATCTCAAACGATCGTCGTATCTCTCCTTGCACCGAAAAATTTGTATTCTTTAATATAAGAAAAATTTATATTTGTTAAGCTTTCTTAACAGATATTCTTAATCTATAAGAATATTTTCTTCTTTTTATCGATATGTCTAGAATACGTACTAAAATTAAAAATATACTCTTTTAGAATAACTGCCTAGCAAGAAACAAATTGTCGATCGGTCATTAAGAAGGAAGCACACACTCTTACATAGAGGCATAATACGCAATAAGGAAAGGAACCAAGCAGAATCCTCATTTCTATCGCCACGTTTGAAATGAAAGACTGATTAGTTCATTTCCTTATGCGTTGTGGATTATGCCTTTATGCAAAAGTGTGTGCTTTTTTTTTTATCTCAAAAACAGCTTTCGCAGTATAATTATATGCAATAGATCAAAGGCAAATAAAAACCAACATTGAAATCGGGTTGCAACTTTAAAATTGCATTAAAAGACGTAGCATTACAAGAGGATTAATAATGCAAGAGGTTAATTAATTAAATATTACAAATTGGGAATTAGAATCAGTTCGATGCAGAAAGTGTATACACGGTGAATCAACCTTCCGCGTCGAGCAGACTCTGATTCCTAATTTTTAATATTAAATTAATTAACCCCCCTTGATTTTTTGCGACGCTACATGTTTTAATTTCATTTTAAAGTTGCGATCTGATAGCAGCGTTGGCTTTTACTTACTTTGATCTATCGTACATGGTTGTATTAATATTTATATACACAAAGAATATCCGTTAAGATTATTTCTTAAGAATATCTAGTACCAACACATTCGTAGGAAGATTCTCCTCTTAAGTTAAGAAAATGTTCTTGGTGCCTGTTTTAGAAGAAATTATCCTAAACATAAGTGGGAAATTCTTAAAATAAGAATACAATTTTTTCGGCGTGAGAGCGAGCGGACTCGTCGCGATCGCGATCGCTCCTCGATTGACAGACTTTCCCCAAGGAGTTCCCCAACGAGGCAGAATCGAGAGGAGTTAATTAAAGAAACGCGCGACTGCGTCGACTGCGAGACACGCGACCACCATCAGGCGAGAGCCGCTCGATTCGCGGACGAAAAGTCCCGAGGCGGGTCGCCCGTTCGGCAACGACTCGAGTCGCCGACGAGCTGCGCCCCGCGCCCCGCGCAACTCGATTAATCCGCCAGATCATAATTTACACTCGGTAATTTCGTTAGACTCGCGGATAATTGCGCGCGCGCTCGCTCAACGCGGACCTCCTGTCAATTCGACCGGCTCGATTTATCCGGCGACTGCCGAGCCGCGAGAGCTCCGCGCAGCGCGCATGCATAACCGTCGCCCGCCGCGC